CGCTCTGAGCCGACTGAACGATGGGGATCCACGCGATACTCACGCTGATCAGAAACAGCATGAACACCCTGCACGCATGAACACAAGCCTCTCAGAGCCTATTCACCTCAGTTTCTGCTCACAAGATCAGAAAATCAATACCCAACACAAACAAACAGACACGAACACACCTCCCCGCAATCATGAGTTCCTTTTCCTTGGCTTTGGGGCGAATCTTGGTGTAAATGTCCATAGTGCAGAGTGTGCTGGCGCTGTTAAAGATGGAAGTGAGTGAACTCATCAGAGAGGCCAGCATGACGGACAACATCAACCCTCTGAGACTTTTGTAAACACACAGCAGTTTAGAGCCATATCACCAAACAGATCAGTCTATTAGAGATGTAAAAGACAGAAACAGAAAAAAGATTATTCTTTACCATTTGGCATCAGATCCACCACTAGTTTTGGATAAGCAATATTACTGCAGCCCACACTGGTTCCACAGTAGTAGTCACACTCTTTTGGATCCACACATGCAATCTCATCTGACACACACATACACACACACAAATAGTTGACTAATAGTCTTTCACTGTTCACTGACCTTCTGATGCATTTCGCATTCAAAAAATGTCACAAAAATTGCTGCATTACTTTTGGATTTTCTGAATTTCTTATCACTCAGTCCACATGCCATTTTCGCATTTTAAATGGTATTATTTGGCTCTGTAATTGTTATGGAATTATAAATTGCAGATTTACTCTCCCTGAAATGTCATAAGTAACCAGTGTTATTTTGGTATTATGTGTATACTTGCTTAAGTGTAAATCAGACACTCTGCCTGTCTAAATAGGCGGATGTTTGTTAAAATAAGTTGATATTCTGTGAGAAACAAGTGGACCAGACTTTATGCTAATGAGCAAAACTCTGTTGGTGTCAGTGTTTCTCACCTGTGCACAGCACTCTGCTGATCATGCCAGGGAAAAACATGAGGAACATGGGCAGAAGTTTGAGGTAACCACACAGGATGCAGCCCGCTTTCACATGAGACAGGTTCTTGGCAGACAGACAGCGCTGCACAATCATCTAAATGAAGAGTTTGTGTGAATAACCCTGAGGAACATTTCAGTGCTCACAGTTAATTAGTCCACTTATTTGAAAGACATTTTGCTCACCAAGCCTGCACTAATTTGATCAAAAATACAGTAAAAACAAATATTACAATTTAAAAAAAATCTGTTTTCTATTGCAATATATTTGTAAATGTAATGTATTTCTGTGGTCAGAGCAGAATTTTTAGTAGTTATTATCCCAGTCTTCAGTGTCACATGATCCTTTAGAAATCATTATAATATGACGATTTGCTGCTCAAGAAACATTTTTTTATTATTATTAATGTCGAAAACAGTTGTGCTTGTATTGTATTTTTGTGGAAACCAAGATTTTTGTCAGATTTCTTTGATTTACAGAAAGTTCAGCATTTATTTGAATAAGAGAAATCTTATGAAACAATGTAACAGTCTTCATCTTTATCAATAAATTCAATGCATCCCGTTTTTAAACATTTCTTTTGATTATTTCTGCTTGTCATCTAGTTGAAAATTGTATTTATACCTATACATGTTATATTATACATAGAACATTTTAGGTATCATGATTCACCATCTAAAACACATCTGGCAACCTGGGTTTAAATGATTTAGAATGCCCGCTGTGTAGAGAAATAAAAACAGATGCAAATAAAACAGTGAACTATATGAACTATACAGTAAACTATGAACTATAATAAACTTTTATGGCTGTTTTTTCCGCTATTGCGCCAGAGTAATAGGCTATTGTTCGTCAAAACAAACACCTGCAGATTAAATAGAAATGATATCACATAATAAATAAATAAATAAAAACCTTCATTAAACATTAAAGTCTTCTCATTTTGTTTCTAGTCACAGAAAGAACATCCCATTACAATGTATGTGACATAAATAAACATGTTTATGTCTCCATGCATCATTTCAAGTTTAAATATTGATCCCCCCCCC